CAGACAGCCTCTTCCCAATATGCGTTTTTGCAATTTACATATATGCAAAAACGCATAAAAATGAATATCACACAACACGTAGTTAAAGTGAATCCCGGACTTATTGTGAAAGCATCAGAGCATCAGTATTCACAGCAGTTACATTCATGAACTGTCCAACAGCATGTGTTTTTTGATGCTTCAGCATATCGCATTTTTGAGCCATCATTTTATCACAGAACTGGCACTTATACGACTTTTCACCAGTATGCGTTCTCCGGTGTCGATTTAGATCGCTTTTTTGGCTCATCCTTTTATCGCAGAACTTGCACTTATATGGCTTTTCACCAGTATGAATTCGTTGATGCACTTGCAAATGCGAGAACTGTATCATCGTTTTATTGCAGAAGTTGCAAGTGTAGGGCCTTTCATTAGAATGAATTCGCAAATGCACCGTCAAATCTCTTTTACAGCGAAACATTCTATCACAAGTTTCGCAGCAGTATGGCCGTTCACCAGTATGTGTTCGTGTGTGCTCTCCCAAATCAGTCTTCCGCTTGAACGTCGAATTGCAATGGCCACATTTAAATGGCTTTTCGCCAGTGTGTATTCTGTAATGCTTCCGTAAAATTTCTATGTGTACAAGTTTTTTACCACATTGTTCGCATTCGTATGGCCTTTCGCCAGTGTGCACCAGCAAGTGGCGTTTCAGCTTTGAAGCAGAGCAGAAGAATTTACTGCAGTAATTACATGTGTGTGACTGTGCACCACTGAAAATCGCGTTTAGGGATTGATCAATACTTTTAGTGCCGTTGGTTTTAGGAGCTGAAGTTGATGAACACATTTCAGGATGCGATCGGTAGCTACCAGTGTAATTGGCTATGCGTTCCTCTGTTTGATTCTTTAACTCGTTTCCACTCACAAGCTGTAAAAAAGAGAAATACAACAGTACAATCATCGCAAAGCCGTCGTCTTTTGTCCCACTAAAGCTAATCAGTGATCATAGGCATGTCCATTTTCAGCTTATCAAATGTGTCTTTTGTACGAGAAGACCTTCACAATTCATATCCTTTAGGTAAAATCAAATTAGCGAATTTGTCTAACGTGAATTTGCACTTCCTGTATTTCCTTATGTATTTCTTCTAAAACGTGTAATCCTAATTCGTTTTGCTCATCATTATTATTACTGTTACCATTATTACTATTAGTATTATTAAGATCATTACCATTATTATTATCATTATTATTGCTATCATTATTGTGCAGCTGTTGAAACAGTGTAGTAACTTCATCATCAAAGCGCGGCTGAATGATCGATAAAGGGAAATTTGAGAAAAATTCTACCGAAAACGAAAAGGTAGAAAGAATGAACAGAACAACTAACCGGCTCTTGGAAATATCATCGTCGCAATGGAGAGTTACAACTTTCAAGAAATATTCTGCGAAAATCTTAAAAGAATTATTGAAATGCTAACCTGTCCCTTGCCAGCTGCTGATACCGTTTGAATGAGCATAATGAATACTGTAAATATTGTCATCTTGGAGGAGTGGCAATAAGCTTTACGATGAACTGAATGAGTTTTTCCATTCGCAACGTCCTTAGATTGTGTAAGTAACGCTTTTCTATTTCCACCCAAAAAAGTGATGTGTCGCGATTCCAACACATTCATCATTGATAAAAGTGAAGTATAGGGCTTCCAATGCTGCGCTTGACTACACACCGACAGGACAAGCACATTTACTATGCCTCTTACCATTGCTTGTCTGAATCTATGGGGGTGGCGGTGTGGTTTGATTAATCCGTGAAGGGACTGAAGAGCAAAGAGTGAGGAGGAAGCAGCCAGTAAAAAGCACAAGCCAAGTTTTTGTACAGATAAATCTGCGTTTCATTTTCGGTACCTTTTATGCTTTCCGTCATCACAGATCTGTGCATGCTTGCAAAAATGGGCGAAGCATGAAGAGTTTGCTGCTGGCTTCAGTTCTGCCTTCGAGGAACACAGGTTTTCAGTGCAAGCGCTGCCTGCAAAATGGAACAAATGGTGGAAGGGTTTGTTATAAAAATCAACTGTATCCCTGCGGCATATACGCCCCCATGATAATAGGCAAAAGCAGCGTTAATAAAAATATTCAGGGTTTTACGCTTAAGTTCGTTGATTTTTTTCTATGGTCGCGTACCTACAGCGCAACTCGATGAGCTGTTGAGAATTTTATAAAATTTAACCAGAAACAATTTATATATATATATATATATATA